GTAGAACACAAAATCATTTGACATAAACAGTTGCTTTCATTAGTTTTATTGACAAATCTGATAAAAATGAAACTACATGAACGCTGTAAGTAAAGACATTTGCTCAGTGGGAAATTAATGTCGAACTAGTCAGTGACAACTGTGTGGAGTTTGGAGTTTGTGACAGTAACTATGTGAGCTTATTACAGTATTAAAGACACTATGACCTGGCATTTCCTATGATCTTCTATGTAGAAGAACCCCTTACCTTCTAACGACTCTTGTGTAGCTTGTGAGTGTCATTTGTGAGCAAAACATGTTACATCTGCGTATTCGTGAGATTCTCAGCTTTTCATAGATAGCTTTTAATAGTTTGTAGCTCAAACCATTCAAACTTTACAGGCGTTTTCTTTTAAAGACCCGTCCCCAAGCCCCTTCGGGATCTACCCTTGTCTCACACACACTGCTCTAGCTCAGCCCCCATTAATCACACAGACTAAAGGTTTTGGTTGAGATGGAGACATGAATCCAACATATCAATGATTCATTTGTAGACAAACTGGAATTAAAGCCAGACTAAGTCAGTGGCACAGATGGAACTATCTAAGCAGAAGATACTGTACATTTCCTTTAAATGTTGATATTTGGTTGCATTGACAAACAAATACAATTCAATAACCAGTCTTTATATGCTTCCCTTCCTGTCTAGTCCCATTACGCCTGTTCTATATGCTTCCCTTCCTGTCTAGTCCCATTACGCCTGTTCTATATGTTTCCCTTCCTGTCTAGTCCCATTACGCCTGTTCTATATGCTTCCCTTCCTGTCTAGTCCCATTAAGCCTGTTCTATATGCTTCCCTTCCTGTTAGTCCCATTACGCCTGTTCTATATGCTTCCCTTCCTGTCTAGTCCCATTACACCTGTTCTATATGCTTCCCTTCCTGTCTAGTCCCATTACACCTGTTCTATATGCTTCCCTTCCTGCCTCATCCCATTATGCCTGTTCTATATGCTTCCCTTCCTGTCTAGTCCCATTACGCCTGTTCTATATGCTTCCCTTCCTGTCTAGTCCCATTACGCCTGTTCTATATGCTTCCCTTCCTGTCTAGTCCCATTACGCCTGTTCTATATGCTTCCCTTCCTGTCTAGTCCCATTACTGCCTGTTTCTATATGCTTCCCTTCCTGTCTAGTCCCATTACGCCTGTTCTATATGCTTCCCTTCCTGCCTCATCCCATTATGCCTGTTCTATATGCTTCCCTTCCTGTCTAGTCCCATTACACCTCTTCTATATGCTTCCCTTCCTGTCTAGTCCCATTACGCCTGTTCTATATGCTTCCCTTCCTGTCTAGTCCCATTACACCTGTTCTATATGCTTCCCTTCCTGTCTAGTCCCATTACGCCTGTTCTATATGCTTATCCCCTTCCTGTCTAGTCCCATTATGCCTTGTTCTATATGCTTTCCCTTCCTGTCTAGTCCCATTAACAACCTGTTCCGATATGCTTCCCCTTCCTTACTAGTCCCGTTACAAAACACCTGTTCTATATGTTCCCTTCCTGTCTAGTCCCATTACACCTCTTCTATATGCTTACCTTCCTGCTCTATTCCCATTACAACCTGTTCTATATGCGTCCCTTCCTGTCTAGTCCCATTACACCTGTTCTATCATGCTCCTTCCTTTCCTAGTCCCATTACACCTGTTCTTATATCTTCCCTTCCTGTCCTAGTCCCCATTACACCTGTCTCTATGCTTCCCTTCCTGTCTAGTCCCCATTACACGCTGTTCTATATGCTTCCCGTCCTGTCTAGTCCCATTACACCGGTTCTATATGCTCCCTCCTGTCTAGTCCCATTACCCTGTTCTATATGCTTCCCTTCCTGTCTAGTCCTTACACCTGGTCTATATGCTTCCCTTCCTGTCTAGTCCCATTACACCTGTTCTATATGCTTCCCTTCCTGTCTAGTCCCATTACACCTGTTCTATATGCTTTCCCTTCCTGTCTAGTCCCATTACACCTGTTCTATATGCTTCCCTTCCTGTCTAGTCCCATTACACACTGTTCTATATGCTTCCCTTCCTGTCTAGTCCCATTACACCTGTTCTATATGCTTCCCTTCCTGTCTAGTCCCATTACACCTGTTCTATATGCTTCCCTTCCTGTCTAGTCCCATTACACCTGTTCTATATGCTTCCCTTCCTGTCTAGTCCCATTACACCTGTTCTAGTCCCATTACACCTGTTCTATATGCTTCCCTTCCTGTCTAGTCCCATTACACCTGTTCTATATGCTTCCCTTCCTGTCTAGTCCCATTACACCTGTTCTATGTTCCTTCTGCTAGTCCATTACCCTGTTCTATATGCTTCCCTTCCTGTCTAGTCCCATTACACCTGTTCTATATGCTTCCCTTCCTGACTAGTCCCATTACACCTGTTCTATATGCTTCCCTTCCTGTCTAGTCCCATTACACCTGGTCTATACACACACACACACACACACACACACACACACACACATGCTATCTGCTGGGAGGCCAGCCAGACAAAGTGAGGCATAAAGGATAAAGGAATATAAGGGACTATATCTCTGTCCTGTAGAACCCCTGTCTTCCCTCTCTCTGAGTGAGCCCTCTGAAGAGTTCGATCTGTGCTTTAAAATAAGGGCCCTTTGTCTCACAGATGCACTTCACTTCTCTCCTCTATCTCTCTTCGCTTATCTCATCTCTCTCTCTCTATCTTTAGCTCTTCTATCTCTCTCTCCTCCACTCGCTCTCTCTCTTGACTTTCTCTTCTTCTCTCCTCTCTCTCTGTGTGTGTCCTCTCCTCTCAATCTCTCTGGCTCTCTCTCTCATCTCTCTCTCTTCTCTCTCTCTCGCTCTCTCTCAATTCAATTTCAATTTCACATCTCTCTCTCTCTCTCAATCTCTCTCTCTCCTCTCTCTCTCTCTCTCTCTCGCTCTCTCTCTCTCTCTCTCTCTCTCTCTCTCTCTCTCTCTCTCTCTCTCTCATTCCCTACCCACAACTGAGATACACTGAACCAAAATATCAACGCAACATGCAACAATTTCAAAGAGTTTGCTGAGTTACAGTTCATATAAGGTAATCAGTCAATTGAAATAAATTCATTAGGCCCTAATCTGTGGATTTCACATGACTGGGAACACAGATATCAGGGATGAAAGTAGATGTAATTTATTCCGGGTACGGGACCTTCGCCCTAGGCGAGACAAAACATTGCACAACGTTGACATCAGCAAACCGCTCGCCCACACGACGCCTTCTGCCCGGTACAGTTGAAACCGCAATTCATCCATGAAGAGCACACTTCTCCATCATGCTAGTGGCCATTGAAGGTTAGCATTTGTCCACTGAAGTCAGTTACTACGCCGAACTGCAATCAGGTCAAGACCCTGGTGAGGACGATGAGCACGCAGATGAACCCTCCCTGAGACGGTTTCTGACAGTTTGTGTAGAAATCCTTAGGTTGTGCAAACCCACAGTTTCATCAGCAGTCCAGGTGGCTGGTCTCAGATGATCCCGCAGGTGAAGAAGCCGGATGTGGAGGTCCTGGGCTGACGTGGTTACATGTGGTCTGCGGTTGTGAGGCAAGTTGGACATCCTGCCAAATTCTCTAAAACGACGTTGGAGACGGCTT